CAACCCCAAGGGGATCAACAGGTCCCCCTGCATTCCCCAATATGCAGTCTTTCTCTTCTTTTCTCTACAAATAAAATCTTTCCTCCGACTTCTGCTGTTGGAATCTGTGTGTCATTCTCAGAGCAGGCTCAAGAACCCTGAGCACCTGAAATCCCTGCATGTGTCATCTGGCCATCAGTGACAGTTTCCTTAGGCACTGTTGATGTGCACTGTACTATTAGCAATGTCCTCTGGTGCTGGTAACTCCTGCAGTGGTGAGGAGCCTAAAGTACTTGTCCTCTGACCACTTAGTGCTATGGGCCCAGACCCTGCTCACAGCTCCTCTCTGGGACTTCCTTTGGCTGTGCACACTTAGGGTCAGGATGACAACCAAAGCCACAGAATTGCCCAATAACCCCTTTGCACACCCTATGGGCAGGACAGCAGCGGGGCTGCGGTGTTTCCTCCCCATCCTGAGTGCTGGCGCTGTGGGGAGGGTGATGGGAGGCACACGAGTCGCTGCCTTCAATACTGATGCTGATGCGAATCTACAGGCTGTTGGCTTTGCCCACGGTCTTAGGGAGCAAGCTTCCTGATCTTCCGGTTCTTGAGGGTGGCACCCTCCACTTTCTGTGTCACACCTGTCTCCTACAGTGCAGGGAACTCAGTGGGGTTCGGTCACAGTCACTCTGCTGGGCCAAATGGGTCTGTGAGGCAGCTACTCCAGCTGCAGCTCTGTGGATTGGAATATGCAGGAGTTTCTGACACCTAGAGTAGCCCAAACTCAGACGACAGCTCACTTCTTAAGGTGGCTCCTGGCTGTAGTCACTAGGGTAGGGGTAGGTGGGTGAGGCAGTGGGTGGGGTTTGTATGGAAATGTTGTTTTCCAAAGGGTTCCCGTGTAGATTTCAGGTTACTTGTCTAAGTGGGCTGCATGCCTGCAAGGATTATAAAACTTTCCAGTAGCTGGGATTGCCAGCGTGTGCACTGATAGCGTGTGCTGGGTTTCTCCTGTTCACCCTCACTCCTACAAAGAAGGGGACTGCCCCCCTCACCCTGGCTGTGGAGTCAGGGTGACAGATCCCAGGATATTTTGTTTCTCTTACTAGGCTGCTGTTCCATGTCTCTGACTCTTGTGAAGTCCTATTCTTACAAAATGCAGTTATCGACTGATTACTTTGGTTCTTTGTAGAAGAGCAGATGAGTGCTGGGTGTCTATTCAGGAGTCTTGAAGATTCAAAATTCTTCTGTTGTGGGGGCATGCCTGTAAACACAGCACTTGGGAGGCTGAGGTAGAAGGATCTGGAGTTCAAGACCAGTCTCGGCTACATAGCAAGACCCTGTGTCAAAAAAGGAAAGCAAAAGATTCTACTGTTTGTGTACATGTATGTGTGTGTATGTGTGTGTGTATCTGTATCTAACTCTATTATCTATGTACCATCTGTCTAGAGTGTCTGTATATTTTCAATCTGCTAAATTTATCATTTTGATCATTTGTTATTTTCCTGATTTTGTTTAATTAGTTCTGTCTTTTTTTGAAGTTCACTGAGCTTCCATAAAACAATTATTTTAAATTATTTGTCAGGCTGTTCCTACACCTGTTTCTTTAGGGTGCATTACTGGTGTTTTATTTTGTTTCTTTGGTATGATTTTTTTTCAGTACTGGGGATTGAACTCAGTGTCCCAGGCAAGTACCGTACCACTAGGCAAGTATTCTATCACTGGAGCCACACACCTAGTCGTTTTGTTTTTCAGATAGGGTCTCACACTTTTTCCTGGCCTGGTCTTGGACTACAATCCTCCTACCTCTGTCTCCCAAGTAGCTGGGATTACAGGCCTGCACCACTATGCCTGGCTCCTTGATTGTTCTTAATCTTTGTGGCCATGGATTGGTGTCTGCACATTAGAAGAAGTAGCGACTTAGCTCAGTCTTTGCAGATTGACTTTGTCTGGAAAAGCCCTTCAACAGTTAGTCCATTCCAAGCTTCTGATAGGGCCATTTGGTGTTATCTGCAGGCAAACTTGCTGCTGGAGTCCTTAGGGAGGCTTGACTGGTCTCTGTGCCAGCAGTTAGCCAGTCCTGGCCCTTGGATCTGCAGATTTGGGCCTGAAGCCTGGATCCACTGGAGAAGACCTTTTGGTTGTGTCTATGGGGGTGGTCTATCAGAAAGGGCCTAGAGTCTGGATCTATGGTGCTGGCCTGAAGCCTGGTCCACAGGGCTGACCTGGTGCAAGGGTGAACCTTGGGTCTGAGTCAGTGGGAGGTGACTGCACAATAGGGTGGGTCTGGTGTCTGGGTTCATTGGGATGGGCCTGGAGCCTAAGTCCCTAGGGTCTTGGCTGTGCTAAGGCATGCAAGGAACTTGAGTCTGTGGGAGCAGTTCTAAATCCACAGGGGCAGGACTGGACCCCACTGAGTCCATGGGGCTGGTGTTGGATTGGAGGCAAAATATGGTCCTTAGTTCCCTCTCCTTCCTCCAAGAAGAGGGTATCTCTCTCCCAGTTGGGGGAGGGATAACATGGTAAGGTAAAATTGTCCTATCCTCTTCAATGTGTCTCTTATTTCTGTGTTACACTCAGGTGTAGACTCGTACCTGCTTTTCTAAGGTCTTAGAAAGGTATTTGTATGCGTGAAACTCATTCAAATTGATGTTTCTATAAGGGATTTAGATCTGAGTTTTCAATTTCTATCTGGATAAACTTGGCCAGGATTCTTACCCTCCCAGCATCAGTGTTGTTATCTCTATGTATCTAACAGCATTGTTGGGGTGACTGCATGGGGTAATGTTCAGTGCTTGGCCTGGCTTAGTGAGATACTATTTTTATAAACCCCTGAGCGCCCCTCATTGTAGAAAACTTTTTAATGTGTGTTGAGGGATACTACCTGGGGGTCAAGAAATATTGGCATCATGTATCATACAAAATAATTAGATAAAACTTTATAATCATCCTTGCCTTGTGCTGGGAGGGTCATTTGTTTGCACTGCTTGGCCATTAGGCCTTTGTTCTATCATTGGTATTTATGGGTAACCAGAGTTGATACCAATGCAAGAAACTACTTGGCCTAAAAAGTGAGGGGGGAAAGGGGAAGAGAAAAGGAGGAGAGGGAAAGTCAGCTTGGTAATAGGGAGTTGGGTAGAGGGAGATTTCAAATCAGAGAAAAAGAGGAAGACTTAAACTGATGCTGGAAGTAAGTGAAGTTTTGAGTCAAGAGAGATATTCAGAGGAATTTTTGCTCTGTGATGTGTGGGATTATTATGTCCTTCCATATCTCCAAAAAATCTTCAGTAAAGGTCTCTATTATTCATTGTCTTGAAATAGGTTTTGTGCTTTAAGAAAAATGTTTTTGATGCACAGAGGTGTTGGAGGTTGGACAAAAGTTGAGTAGAGTGGCTTGCTGAGGTCCTGGACTCTTTTGCTTTCCTTCATCTGGTGTGATCCTTTCACACTGACCTCCTGTCATAGCTATTGAGCTGGAGGGGACTTTGCTTTGGATGGGAATGATGCTGTGGAAGTGACGGCCACTAGCTAAGAATAAGCATCTCCTGGTGGCCCATCCTTCATCAAGTCTGTACTTCTGGGTTTATCTTCCTTATAGCTTTAATCAAAGGTGGAACATAGTAGAATTATGCTAAATACATCATACAAGCCTGAGGCTGTGTTTAAGCCCTTTGCATACATAATTTCCATTTTCTGGCTGGATGGTATGTTCACATTCATCACCTTCCTGCTCTCTTCCATGCTTTCCCAAAACTGGAGACCTGGGGACATCCTAGAGCTTTTGGTCAACAGGAGCATTATTATCCCTTTAGCAAAGATGGGGAGGTATGAGGTCTTGAGAGAACACATATCTGCAGTGGTCTCTGGATGTTCCTCCATCAATCTATGCTGCCGCTTGGCCTGGAGGATCACCATTCAGGTAGCAGCCTGTAGTCTGGGGTTGTGGGGAGCTGCTGGGTGCTGGTCTTTTCTGGGATGGGGTACTCTCTTCCCTCTCCTTCCCCAAAAGAGGGCCTCTCTATTGCTGGGTTGTATGGGGCTTGGGGAGGGGTAACACAGGTCACATGCACCTCCCTTCCTCCCCTCTTTAATGTTTTCCCTCTATGCTACTGTAACCTCTAACCTGACTTCCTCAACTCTTATGAAGGCATCATCTCTCATGGAGCTGTTCAAATTGACATTCTATGAGGGATAAGTGCTGGAAAGTTCTGTTCTACCATCTTGCTGATGTCCTGTTCTAGCATGCTGCATGTGTGACCCATTCAGTCCTTACAACCCCATAAATGTAGTGTTACTCTCTCTACTTCAGATGAGGAAACTGAGGCACAGCTATGGCTAGGCCAGTTGCCAAAGCCACACAGTTGGTTAGTGTCCAAAGCCAGATAGTTGGGCTGTGGAACAGGTAAAAGTCTCCACTGGAGGGCCCACATTTAAACTAACAATTCATCTAAACACAGATGTATGATGGGCAAGTCAAAATGGCCTCAGGCTTCACTTTCCTAGTCCATAAAATGACAGAGATGGCCAAGATGACCTAAGAGTTTCTTCCCCACGGGCTGTCTATGCAATCATGTTTCTATTTCTTAACAGTGATTGCCTCACTGTTCCCCACATATTGTCCTCATCCCTCCTCTGGCACTACTCCTGCCACCTTTCCTTGCCCCCAACCTTCCTGGAACTGCTGTGTGACCTTGTTAGTTAGTTCTTATCTAGTGATCAGTTCCCATACCTGAGCTACTGGGAAGATTTTATCCCTAGGATTTTAGCTCTTCCATTTGCTAGGAGTTTATGGGACAAGATGGCCTAAAATTCAGAGGCAATTGCCTGCAACCAGCAGAATGCAGAAAGTACTGAAACAGTTGGCAGGATGGGTTTCTGACCTGCCTTTTGTCAGTCAGCCTTCCCTTCTCCCAAGATCTATCTGCACATTGCTAAATTGTCAAGGTGTCCCCAGAAGTTCAAGAGAAATGTTCACATTTTCTTTCCTGGAGGGAAGTTAAGAAAACACACTCATGGCCATTAGAAATGCTTTTATTTATAAAATAACTATTAAATATAAACACCTCTAAATAGAAACACTTCACAAGAGACCATTACTGCCTCTGACCATGGGCAGAGATGCTGCGGATGCAGAGTTCTGACCTGATTCGCCAGCATTTTTAAGGCCGGATGGGCACCTGTAGGAGCAGGGACCATAAGGCTGTTCTTAATTCCCTTTCTTAACAGACAAAATCCATAGTTTCCCATTCCAAGTTAGGTGTCATATCTAGGGAAGATCTTAAGTACAGGAGCCCTACTAAAACAAAGTTTTCAGAGGCAGACTATTAGTGTTAGGGGTTAGCAAATATCTTCTTGTGACTGGTGGGAGACTTAAAGGCACTCTGGAATCTTTAGAGAATATCATCTCTGAAGCATGGAGGTTAGAGATGAATAAAAAAAATCTTATTTCTAAGTCTAGTATAAGCTACTCTGGGACCACTTATCCCAATTCAAATAAGTCACATGGTTATGCAGTTTGCATCTGTGGATGTAACTAGATGGCAGTAGTGTGCTCAGACGAAGGAGAGAAGCACCCAGACTTCCACCAGCCTTCATGGATTTGAGATTAGTGCAGAATTAGTATTTTCAATGGGTGGTTGGAGCTCCAATCCTACTATTCTAGGAAAATCTGTCAGTTACTGAGCACAGGGAGAGAGGACCATGAGGCAGCACACACAGAGTATAAAGGAAGGGCAAATAACTATCTAACAAGGGAAGAGAACCTTTCCGATGAAGGGCTGAAGGAAAATGAAGACTTTAAGAAGAAACAGAAGAAAGCAGTTGAGTTTGGTACAATCAATCTGGGAATGCAGTGAAATAAATAAGATTAGTATTTTAGGAACGTTAGAAGCACCAGGTTTGGTGCAATCCTCACAAATCTTTGCCATGTGCAGAAGCATGACTTAAGAGAGCTCTCAGAGTTCTACTTCCCTTCATCAAAGCTGGTTTCTGGTCAGTGGATAAGGGAGCATGGAGCCACCCAGACTCAGCATGCTATAACCCATGTCAACGTCTTCTAATGCTAGCACAGCATCCTGAGTGCCCACAATACTGGTCTTCTGACTGGAAATTTCTCGTTCCAAAAGCTGACCCCAGAACTTGTCTCTTCTCATGGCCACTGAATCATCTGTAAGCCTCAGAGTCCATTCCAAATTCCAGAAATTCTAGTGATCATAAAGGTTTACAACCCAGTCGAGGACAAAGCTTGTCTTGTGCTCCACCATGTCAAGGATAAGCAATGTGGCAGGGCCTGTGTCTCAGGAGCAGGTGCCTTGGTGGCTCACCAGACCTTTCAGCAGACTGAAAGCGAAGGTAGCAAGGCTGAGTGGGAGGCAGCATGGGCTCAGGTGTACTCAGTTTTGCGGATATAATTGGATGGGACATAGCCTTTCTTCCCATTAACTTCAGCTAACCACCACTCTGTATTGCCTGTAACATCTTTAAACTCGAGGATCCTGAGTCTCTGATTGGCTGGAACGCTCAGCTCATTTGGGTTTCGTGCCTTGAAGGTATAGACAGCAAAATAGACCTGTGTGAAGGAAAGGGAGTTAGGAAACTGCTTAGAGAGATGCTGCCAGACAGAATCTTCTGGGGCAATAGGGATGTTATATATCTGCACAGCCTGTGGCTACTGAACACTTGAAATATGGCTAGTGAAGCTGAGAGCTTTAATCTTATTTAATTTTAACTAATTTTTAAATATCTATGTGTGGCAGGAGGTTCCCATGATAAACAAAGTAGAGTAAAAGAAAAACCAAAATTTACACCTGTTAATTCTTACAGAGCTGCTTTAAAGAGTAGAAGGACTCTCAATTCAATATGGAAGATGGGTAAGCTATGAGGGTCCTTCCCATACCTCAGTGTTGTATCTCACCAAGAAGTTGCAAATTGGGCTGAAGGTGGTAGAGCACTTGCCTAGCATGTGTAAGGTTTGATCCCACTACCACACAAAACAAAACAACCCTAAAACAATTCACAATCAATCTCAAAGAAAAGATGATCTCCAGGTGCCGTAAGAAAGATACAGTGCAAAGTGAGGATGGTACTCCGTGCTAGGAAGAGAAGCCAACAGGCTCACGGGGCCAGACACACACTAGATAGATGGTGTTTTAGGACCTGGTGAGGCTCAGGAGTTGACAGGTTCCCTGCCTCAAATGAGAATCTAAGCAAGGTCCATTTGCCAAGCAATGTGTCTAGAAAAACTGTCCACTGGATCTAGCACTGGGCTGTGTGCCCTGGGCTGCGGGGAGAACGAACTACCAGAAGGAAGTGAGAACATCCCATGCTTAGCAGTGGTACTAAGTACTGTGGCACAGGAAGTCTGAGCTGAGAAACCAGGTAAAAACTGGCCTTTGGAGTCCAAGAGTCCAGCAGAGGCAGCACCTCATGACTCAGGCCAAGACTGCTGAAAAAGAGCTCACATGTCATCACAAAAGACACAGGAAGCTTACTGCTGTGAGGGTGAGCCACAGCGACAAGTGGGTGGGGCAGAGACTCCACAGCTGGGAATCTGAAGTGGTTTTAGACTAGGTGGGTCTAAAATGTGCAAGACATAAGGGCTATACTCAGATTGACAAGCTAGGAGCAGGCCATTACAAAAAGAGGAGAAAAAAACTGAAAGAGTGCCAAAATTTCATTTCTAAATTTTAGAATTATACAGTTGTGTGAATAAAATAAACTACATAGGTGGGTAACACAGCAGACTTCATATAATGAAAGAATTTGTGAACTGGAAGAGTGGAAAAAAATTTCATCATGATTCCTTTTAAATGTCCAATGACTAAGTAGAAGAGAAATGTGAGTCTGAGAAGGTGTTCAGAAGCGCGGCTATTCCCTGGTACAGTGGGGGGTTTCCCGTGTGCTGGACATGCTCTGTCCATGGGCCCCCCTCCAGATCATGTCCAAGTCTCGGGTCTTGCCCACTCCTGCTCTCATTCCACACCTTTTGCCCCGTGCTGCGGGGTATGCAAGGGAAGCACTTACCTGGTTGCCTTCGGCCTCACTGTTTTCTGGCCTTTCAACTTTGTCTTCCAGAGCCTGGGTGGCTCTTGCATTTCCTTTTACAAAGTCATTACCTTGCCCATTTCGCCCTGGTGCAGAGTAACCAACCAGCTCTGAATGCCTGGAGCTTCGGTAGCAGCCTCTTGGGGTGGCTGTGGGTTGGCTCATATCTCTGGCTACATCTGCTGAGTCCCCTGGCCTAGGCCAGCAGGTAGAGTCTGGCTCTGAAGGGCACCTGGAAGGACCACTCTCTGCACTACCCAGGTTCAAGGACACACTGAGAGTTTCTGGGTTGCATTCCTTCAATGAAGGTGCATCTTGAGACTGTGTCAGGCTAGATCCTGAGGTAAAGGACACAGCCATGTTGGCAGGGTTGAAGGTCAAGGTGCTGTTACTGTTCTGCCGTGGGAACCTAGGGGAGCAGCTGCCGATCTCTGACTCAGTGGAGGAATGGCTGCCGATGGAGGCATCTGAGTGGCTGCGCCGGGGATTGTAGGGCTTCAGGAAGGAGCTGTACACGAAGCCTTTGGTGACTGCACAGAAGGAAAGATCAACATCAGGGATTTGTAGCAGAAGTAGGAAGGGAGGGAGGAAGGGATAAGCAGGGAATCAACAGAAGAATTATGTTTCAAAAGCTAGGTCAATGGTGAGAGGCAAAGTAAGATGCCAAATGACAAAATAGATTGAAATGTCCAATTCCAGGATGCAACATGCATGGGTAAAGACAAAGAGCTATGGGCTACCTGCCAGTTCATTCCTGTTACAACCTCAGAACAGAAGAGCAGTAAGGAGGACAGTAATTAAAGTCACCACGTTTGGAAATGGGCAAAGAAAGAAAATTTAATGGGACATTGACACCATGGCTAAGAAGACTCAGCCAAGTACAAGACAAATACACCACATGTGGCAAAGAGGGATTTCAAGACCATCTTCATGTTGAAAAGCCCCTCACGCAGGCCCCCCACCCCTCCACAGAGCTGGAATCTGTTGGCTAGGGAATGCTGTGGAATACCATGAGGATTCTCAAGTAGGAAGCTGTCTCTGTAGAACTCAAACACATATGGCCCATTACAGTGCACGCTCACTTTAGAATTGCCTAGGATGATGGCAAGGCCCTCCGCTAGACCTTTCAGCATGAAACAGGGATTGAGACATTTATCCATGGGGCTGTTTCTTATAGAAATCTAGAAAGGATAGACCTCAAGTATACTTGAGAACAAGGGCCGTCTCCCTCATGATTTATTTTTTTTTTGGAACTGCATTAAATTTTAATATCACCTTGGTTTTATTGCATTTGTTTTTTGCTTCTGGCATCAGGACTGTGCTCTTGAAGGAATTCCAGCTTTCCAGAGCAAAGAGCCTATGTTTGGACATAATATGGGGACAGTGTCAGGTTTGTGGGAAGAGGTCTAGATTTGAATCTCTGCCCCATTTTTAAAATATGTAACAATGATAAATATGTATGGGGTACAGTGTGATGTACAAGGATTCAGTCAGGGTAATTAGCATTTCTATCTCCTTATTGTTTCTTTACATTTGGAGCCTTTGAGCTCTCCTCCTGTAGTCTACGATCACTCCTTTGTGCTGGAGATTGCTAGAATCTATTCCTCCTAACTGTATTGAGGTAACCACTATCCAATCTCCCTCTCTTTTGAGCTCTGATTTATTTCCTGTTCCTGAAAAAGGAGCAAAGGGTCCAGCAAACAGCTCACCCTGACACTGTGTGCTGCTAACCCCTTTACTTCTTAGGAATGATGAAATAAAAACCCCAAAGTTGGGGACTTTTGATGTAGCTCAGTAGTAAGATCACTTGTCCAGCATCGGCAAGGCACTGGGCTCATCCCCAGCACCACCAAAACCCCAAAGTTGAAGCCGCTTCTTAAACAGCTTGGAACTTCACAAGCAGCTCATCTGTCCCACCTCATCAGTGACTGTCACCTGCCTTTACCCTCTGTCCTTTACAACTCACATTATTCTGAGTAAACAGAAGTGGGGGGGTAAGAGAAAAAATGCATAAGATGTTTTTAAAGAAAGCTAGAAATGTTAAAATTTTCAGTTCCTGTTGGTGTATACACAGATATTTATGGTATAGGCCTCAAAATCTTACCTAAAATGTTTTGAAATTCAATTTTTTGACTTGGGCGAGGTAATCAAGGTCACATATGTTTCATAACCACTCTCCCCAGCACACCATTATTAAACCCCCTCCAGTAAAATATGACTGTTCACATCAGAAAAAGTTATGACTATATACAGTCACTTACTACTTTGTTCAGGTTTTGGCAAAAGGGTTCTGAAAAAAACTTTTGTTTTTCTAAGCTTTTTGGATTTTGGAATCATGGAAAAAAAGACTGTTCTTAAATTCTGTAAACCACTCCCCCCACTCCCCCTCCAAAAAAAGTTGTGAGCCATTTAAAGTCATTTTTCAAATAGTCATGTGGTAAAACTCATAAGGAAAAAACCCCAAAGTAAACAGAATCCACAGGTTTTTAATTCACATACAGGACAAATTTATAGAAACTAGGAAAAGGCAGCTTATTTTATAACTCAGAAGAGGTTGAAAAACCAGGATTCCATTAGGCAGTATTTACTGCCTGGACAAGTTATAAAACATGGCGAGATCTTAGAAGATAAGTGATAGGAGTCTCCTGTGGAATTTGTCAAAACAAAACATGCAACCCCAAATAGGTTTTGCTTTAGTGGTGCCCTGGCACTGCCAAAGTACTCTTACAGTTATTTCACCCTGTTAATCAAAGGCTCTCATGCATCTTTCTAGCCTGGATAGAATGCAGGGGTAGCCCAAATAACTCTTTCCTCATTTAGGGCCGCATTTATTTGGTGTCTAACGTCCTTACCTCCATTGTCAATCAGCCAGCGGCTGTGACTGCCCATGGGGTCTTTCCTTTTGATCACACCCACCAGGTCGCCTTCCAAAAGCGCGACGTCCAAGTCCTGAGCAGCATTGGCGTTCCGCTCTGCTTGGAAGAGCTTTTCAGGGGGGTACCTTGCCAGCAGGGAGGCCCGGAGTTCTTCCGACTGGAGCATGTAACTTGGCTGAAAGAAACATGAAGGACGCCATCAACAACAGACCTACCCAGCTGTTCTCCTAGCAGCTAATTTCATCTCAGCTGTCCAAGTGTCAGACATGAGGCACCAACAATCAGCCCCCCACTGTCCCCCCAGATGCGTTACAACAGTCAGCTGTGTTCGGTAAAAGCCACGCTCTCTTGGGCAATGCTTTGGTGCTTCTATAGCTATGAAGCAAGCTAACACACACTTTGTGACAAAACGGGATTAGATTGTTTCCTAAAGGGGCTGGAGCTGTGGCTCAGGTGGTAGAGCGCTGCTTTGCAAGCACCAAGCTCTAAGTGCAAACCCCAGTCCCACCCCATCCCCCAAAAAAATTCTTCCTAGAGAATCAAAATGTTGGGGCGAGGGGTGTAGGTCAGTGGTAGAGTGTATGCTTAGCAAGCATAAGGTTCGTTTTCCAGAACCAAAGTAAAATTTTAAATTAAAAAAAAGAATCAAAATACTTAAATAATAGTATCAGGTCTTCTTATATTGCACTAGATGACCCTGAACGATTGATAATTTCCCTATCTTGACTTCCCAATCCATAAAACAATTACTCACAAAAACAAGAAAAGCAAAGTAATAATAAATTCAGTTCTCCTTTTAAGATATTCTAAATACCTATGGGTTTTTATGGAGCAAAAATACACTAAAGAAAGGCATATCAGCAGTCTTTTACACCACAAGCCTATATGATATGATATGGTTACCCTACTTTTTACAATATGGAAGAACTGAGTTAAAAAGAATATAACTCCAGATAAAAAAGCAGTCAGTCATTAATGATTTGACTATGTTACATTTTCTAATACATGATCAAAAATGGGCAGGTCTGAGAGAATTAATATATCCTTATTAACAGTTCCTTTAACCAGCTGATCCACATATTCTTTACTAAGATCAAGAATGATTTCAGAGGCAAGATTAAAGTTCATACCAAGTATGAGAAAGAAAACTACAGGTGGTCACAATCAGGCACTGACAGGCTTCTCAGCGATGCTCAGGAAATAAATAGTTAATGAATCTGTAAGCCCCATGGTATGACGGACAGGACCCAATAACCTTTCTTTTCCTTTTCTTTTTTTTTTTTGTGATAGAGGGTTTGAACTTGCTAGGCAAGCACTTTACCACTTGAGTCTCCCTCCCACCCCTGCTCATCTTATTTTTCAGACAGAGTCTTGCACTTTTTGCCCAGGCCATCTGAGCCACGCACCACACCCTGCTTGTTTTGGTTATTACTTTTCAGATCGTGTGCTGCGCTTTTTGCCAGGGGCAACCTTGGAATGTGACCCTCATGCCTATGCCTCCTGCATGCACCAGAACACATGGCTTGTGTTCTCACTAACTTTTTCTGGCTGGTTTCGAACCATGATCCTCCCGATCTCTGCCTCCCAAGCAGCTGGGATTCTAGGTGCAAGCTGCCTCTATTTTCTATTTATTATGAAAGATTCAAATACCTGTGGACACAGAGCTGGGCCCATCAACATTGATGATTATGATGGTAATACTTATTGCATAGTGCTTACTGTGTGCTAGGCAATTTCGAAGTGGTTCCATAAATTAACTCACGTAAGCTTTACAATAGACCTATGATGTAGGCACAATTCGCACTTGTGTCTCAGACATAGGGAAGTGAAGTGATGCGCTCAGGATGCACAGTGCATAATCTTCATCCTGGGTCCTGTACCCAGGTGGTCCAGCTCTGGAGTCCACATTCTTTATCCTTGGGCTGTGTACTGCCCTTTACAGTCCCTACTCACCAGGCCCAGGAGGGGCTTCCGAGCAGACTGGCGGTCTGTGGTTTTCCTCTCAAACGGCTTCTTGGTAGCTGGAAGAGACTCAGGGAAGAAGGTGAAGACCTGGAGCTGCTGCAGAACCCTGCTGTGCTCTTCATGGAAAATGGCAATCAGGTTGCCCTCTCTCCCAGCAACTTTGAGTAACTGCCATCCATGGGAAGAGAAGAGAAGGGAACACAGATGAAAGATCCCTAGGACTGACAAAGTGTCCTCAGAACCAAGGGAAGCTCAAGGTCAGCTGTGTGAGCTACTAACACTGCAGCCAATGCAAGAGAACTGGCACTGTGCGGTGATACCCAAGAGCTAGGTTGGCCAGCTATTCTGAAAATCACAGGAAAGAGACATTTAAAAAGCCTCAGGTTTCATATCACCATCAAGGGACCAAGAATTCCTGATGGGACCTAATGACATGTTTGATCTCTAATTTCCTGAATGACCCCACTGTACATTCCCAAAAGTACCAAGCCGACTTCAGAGATGACTTTTCCCTAGAGGAATAGGGGACTCACTGAAAGGAGTGGCTGCAACTGCTCCAGAGCCTGCTGCACGAAGTCACTGTGGGCTTCGGCATAGCCATGGACACAGTTGGTGAACAGGCCCTGGGCGTACTGCTGGAACTTGGGCAGCTCATCCAGTAGCTGTGCGTTCAGGGCCTCGTAGTTGTTCCGGGCAGACTGCAGTTCCTCCAGGGTCTTCTTGTCCTTTAGTTTCTCTGCCCGTTCAGTGCAGTTGTAGAAGTCCAGGAGTTTGTCAAAGCGCTTCTGTACCAGCTTGTGGGGCCCTGTGAACATGCTCAGTAGCTGATTTAAGGGAGAGATGACCAGTCGTTCTGTCCTCTCCTTCTGTAGGGATGAGGAAGGCACAATTGGTCAGTCCCCACCTCTGTCTTAAAACACTCTTGAGCTGATTTGGTGGTATCCTTGTTTTGCCCCTAGTGCACCGGCTGACTTCCTGCAGACCTACGGCTGTGCTCTGTTGACCCATGCCACCAACCTCTCAGCATCTACTTCATATAGCATGGCCTCTGTAAAATAGGCTCATCCTACCTTAGCTCCCTAGCTGATATTGCTAATTACACACTGATATGATATTTGCACTGGAAACCAAATGTAATTGTTCATTTGGTAACCCCTACTATGGGCTCTGGTTTATACAGTGATTTTAACTTCAGGGTAAGTTCTAGGCATGCGCGCTACCCCTTGAGCCACAACCCCAGTCCTCAGATCCTAGATTTAGTTCTTACATAAATCTAGAGTACAGCATGCACTTTCACTTTTCAAAGGATTTTTCATTCTTTCTAGAAGAACAGATATTGAGGATAAAGAACATAAATAGGTACTTAGTAGCTTCTTATTAAAAATAAGTAACAGAATACCTGGAAGTTCTCTAAGTGTGTGTGTCTATATTAGCCTTATGCCACACAGAGAGCTCTAAGAAATTGTCCAACTGCATCCAATCCTCTCTTTGCAATTAAACAATCACATGTGTATCTATTTGCAAGTTTCCAAGAAATTTGGTCTTTAGTGTTCTCTTTATAAAGTAGTTTGTACTTTATAAAGATCTATTTGATAATGTTTTAACCAAAAAAAGAAATTCAGGAATAAATTTTTTTATCATAATTATTAACTGTGATGTCATATTAAATTTCCTGGTTTTAGCTGAGTGCCAATGGCTCACACCTGTAATCCTAGCTACTTAGGAGGCACAGATCAGGAGGATTGTGGTTTCAAGTCAGCCTGGGCAAATAGACCCTGTCTGGAAAAAAAGAGTCACAAATACGGACTGGTGGAGTGGCTCAAGGTGTAGGCCCTGAGTTCAAGCCCCAGCAATGCAAAAAAAAAAAAAAAAGTCCTAGTTTTCCTTCTCTCATTTATTTTTTGAAACTAAGTTGATCACAGGCGATAAAGAAGTCCACTGAATACATTTCAGATCCTCCTATCCCTCTATATCTTTGTGGAACTGACTTTGCACGAGCTGCCATTTGAGATGACCTGGGAAGAGGGCCAGGCTAGGAAAAGTGGGCTGAACAGAATCACTTACAAAATTGGTGAAGAGCTGATCGCTGATGTAGCGATGAACCTTCTCAAACTGCTCCAGGTCACGATGTCCCCTCTCCACACACAGGTCCCACATGCTCACGGCAGCCACCACTTTCACACATGCTGATTCCTGGAGCCAGTGAGAAACAGACACAGTAAGAACACACAGAACGCCTAGCCTTTGTCACTCACCCCACATTGCGGCCTGCAAAAATGGCTCCATCACGGGAGCTTTCCTCTTTAGTATTATTTCAGCTATGAAGCAAGCATATGCCTATAAACTGATTTATGGGGCACAGAGAAAAGCTAAAACTTGGTTACAGAAAAACTGGTGAGGGTTTTTAATCATCTCTTTGTCATTTCTCTATGCCCCCAATATGAGAGGGTTTCTTAATTCATCAAAAAGTACCACAATCAGAGCCAAAATCCTTCAGGATTGGTGAATGCCTGCTATATTGACATTAACTCAAGTGAAATCTAAATGTATGAAAAGCTAATGTATTTCAAGGGTAAACAAAACCGTCAGTGCCTCATATATTAGTTTACCATTTTATAACATTTTTTAGATCCTAAAGCCAGTACTCTGTGAGAGGAATAAACTGTGGAATCTTTCAGCTCCTCTTGAATGGAGGGTAAATATGAAACATGGTGTTCTTTTACTTTCTTTTAAAGAAATATTGCAAAGTCCCAAAGTGTAAGCCCATATGCCAGTGCAGATAGCGAATTATAGAGTCAACGAACCTCAGTTTTTGGTCCTGCTGGCTCTCTATTAGTCAATCAAATATTCTTATTTGGTGGGGCTTTTCAATTTATACTTGTGACAAAATTGTTCCACATGCTCTCTCACAATTTCTAATATCAGAACCAAACTGGCTTCTCCATAAAGTGGCTGTCAGCTCAATCAGGTCCCTCAAAATGCTGCTGTCCACTGCTACGGAGGAGAGCACTAGGGCTCAGGCATGTACTGCTATACATTCAGAAAACACAAAGAGTAAACAGTCACACAGAATTAGGAGAAAGTCCTAAGGAGCAGTAACACAAGGGAAAACACTTGGTAGTTGCTCCTATATTGCCTTTGTCAAATCTCTCCCATGTTTCTGAAAAGTCATAAGCCTCATTTTGACCTAATTACATTTTTTAAAAGATGCAGGGAGGGTATATATTATTTAAAAAAAAAAAAAAAACTCAGGTGTGATGACACTCATTTGTAATGCTAGCAGTCAGGAAGCTAAGCCAGGAAGGACCAGCAGTTCGAGGCCAACCTGGGCAAGAGTGAGATCCTATCTCAAAAAATAAGTCGAGGGCATTTCTAATCCATGGGGCTCACTCAACAAAGGATGGCAGATCTCTGGATGACCACCCAGAAAAAGGCAAAGTTGGATGCCTATTGCAAGCTAGATCAATGATTTATACCTACAGCAAGCGAAAGTACCAGCACCTGGGATAGGATCTGGGGATAGGAAAGTCCTTTCTGTCTATGACACAAAACTAAGAAGACATAAAATGAAAATTTAATTAGACTACACAAAAATTTTCTACACAGAGAAAACACTTTAAAGTCAGAAGTCAAACTGGGGGGAAATATTTGTAAGTCATCATCTCAAAGGTCTGTATCTTCCAATATATATAAAAGTCCTACAAATCAGTAAGAAAAAGACCAAGACTTAAAAAAAAAACAAAAAACCAAGACTGTAAATAAGCATGCCAGATCATAGAAAATATAATGGCTTAAACACAGGAAAATATCCTTACCCTCACAAGAGATGCAAATTTAAAACCATATTGAAATTTTTTTACCTATCTTGTGGACAAAGGTAAAACATTTTGGTTTTGGCAGCACCATTGGTTGGTAAAGGATGCTGTTGGAAGGGCTCTTTATTTTTATACTACCTCTGAAATTTAGTATCTATCAAAATTCATATTTATGATTTTACTCAGAAAATCTAGTACCCTAGGTAACTTGCATAGATCATAAGATGACATATGTATATATATGAATTTATTTATTAGGTTTTGTTTTTTTTCTTAAGACAGGGTCTCACTATACAGCCAAGCTGGCCTTGAACTCAAGATCCTCCTGCCTCTTCCTCCGAATGTTGGGATTACAGGTATGTACCACTATTCCTGGAAAGAAAATGGTGCATTTATAAGGATATTTTTTGTGACACTGTCTCTAATCTTTTGTAACTATATAAATGCCTGTCAGTAGGGGGCTAGTTAAATATATTATAGGCCATCCATACTGTTAAACACTATGCAGTTGTAAAACTAACAAGGCAGCTACAGAATTACTTTAAAAATTACTTGGAAAACCCAAGCCAGTTGCTGGTGGCTCATGCTTGTAATGCTACTCAGGAGGCAGAGATCAGGAGGATCCCAGTTTGAAGCCAGCCCAGGCAAATAGATTGTGAGACCCTAACTCAAAAAACCTTATCACAAAAAAGGTCTGGTGGAGTGGCTCAAGGTGTAGACCCTGAGTACTGCAAAAAAAAAAAAAAAAAGTAAAACCCAAGTCACTGGACAATGTCCCCATCCCCTCCCACATACACATGGGTCAGCTCTGATGAAGGAGGATCATTTTTACTTTTTGGTCACCCTTCAGTCCTTTTAAATTTTGTATCCTTTTACTTAGTTTAAAAAAAAAATCCTTTAGGGAATATATACTCATGCCTATAATCCCAGCTACATGGGAAGTAGGAGGTAGAGATTGAGGTCAGCCTGGACAAAAAGTCACTGAGACGTCATCTCAGTCAATAAGCCAAGTGTCACGGTGCACACATGTGATCCCAGCATAGAGGCAGGAGGATCATGGTCCAAGGCTGACCTCCAAGGAAAAAAATACAAGACCTTTGAAAAATAACTAAAGCCACTTGTCATGGCTCCAAGTGGTAGAGTACCTGCTTAGCAAACAGGCCCTAAGTTCAAACCACAGTATCACAAAAATAAATAAATAAAATTTAAAAAGCAAAGAATGCCTTTTAAAGACAATGATTTGCTTCATAAGAACAGATTTTCCTGTGTGGAGATGGATGGATAAAGCATGTGCTTACAGTGTCTATACACATGGTTCTATTAAATCCATAGAGAGACTTAGGGCTCTATTTCTGGTTCTCACTTCCAGAGGGAAGACCCAGGCCTACCTGGTCCCCTTTCCAGCTCCCCAAAGCTACTTAGGGTTCCAACAACTCTAGAGGCCTGACACAGAGCGGCTTCCTAAACTGCAAGTTCAAATGGCCAGCAGGACGCTCCACGGGAGCCATTTTCCCTCTCAGGAACTGCTTCCTCTGTGTGTGCTTCCTGCTCTCTAGCTTTACTCCCTTTGTAGCTAATATTTGATCTTCAAAATGATTTTCCCAAAATGAACTATGACAAGTGCTTCTTTCTGGGGGTGATGGGTGTTAAGGAATAGTAGTGGGGTTTGAACTCAGGGCCTTATGCTTGCTGGGCAGGTACTCTACCACTTGAGACACGCTTCCAGCCCTAACAAGTGATTCTTATACAACTGGGTATAGGGGACAGTAGAAAAAAGGTATGTGTATATGTGTGGTGGGGAGCGGGGGTGGGGGGGGCGGGGAAGGTGATGAAGCTTGAAAGAGAGGGAGGAGAAAGCTAGATCACTTTTCATACGAAAGTGCTGATCTTATAGGTTATTTCAAAGTTGATTCCTAAAGGAATCTCAACACCCAGGAGGCTGAGGCAGAAGGATAATGAGTCCAAGCCCAGCCTGGGCTGTATAGTGAGACCCTGTCTCTGAAAATTCAAAATCAATCAAGCAATTACCCTATAGGAATCCCGGTAAAAAGTACATTGTGGCAAAATGGTCATTTTTACTAACTTTCATCAAACAATATGCTAAATGACAGACAAATGAACAAACTTTTCTAACTAGAGCGATGTGAACACTCACCCGGATATGCTGGAGATAGAGGGACAGGTCTCGGATAAAAGATTTAATTAATCTTTCTTGCATCCGGAAGTTCTTTTCTGTTTCTTCAAATACTTCATCTTTTATCTGTTCAAAATAAACAATGCTGCTAGCAACCTTGGGTTTTCCCTCAATGGATCTTACTGCCAAAACTATTTTTCTCATTAGAAATAGCTTTCATTCAAATTATAAACCTGTGCTGTTTCCCTGAATCATACTGAATTAATTTGGACATCTCTCCCTAGGAGTTAGGGAGCCTGCCTAGCTCCCACTTGCCTTCCCCTCCACTTCAGATGTAAATCCTCTGCCATGTAGGGCTGTCTCTTCTCCCATTGCCTGCACAACCACACATGCTCCCCTGCATGGTCGGCCCTCTCCTCTCCCTGAACACACAGAACTCTCAGGCTAACACAAAGCACATTCTCATTAAACTGCTGGTTTTCTCTTACTGCAGCACTCAGGGACAAAAGGTAAAACATGGCAACTGCATTTTCTCTGGCTTGTATTTTCCACTCATTGTTACCATGTATCCATGGTTTACAGAATGAAGTCAGAAGATTTCTGGTCTGCTTAGCACTGGTGCTAAACTGCCTTTTAAGTCACTCCATCTCTTACCTATGCATTTCCTTATTTGTAATGTAAGGTATCCAACTAGGTGATCTCTTAAATCTCTTCTAGCTTAATATGTCTACATATTAGTTTTATGATTTGTCTCCCCAAATAGAAAACCACAATAATTACATATTGACCTATGTGGCCTCCTAATGTGTCTTTATATAATTGTTAGCTGCTATCAAAGCAAAAGTGAAGCTACCCAGCTTTATCTGTTTTTTCCAGCTAGCAAAACCAGAGGAGGTACCAGGAAGGGAGTCATGCCAATCAGCCCCAGCAACTCCCCTCTCCCCGAACGCCCTGAAAGCTGTCTTCAAACACAGGGACCTCACCTGAGGAGCAAAGCCAGTGAGGTGCTTCAGGTGACTGCTAACCCGGTTGGACTTCTTGATGATGGAGTGTATGTTCAGTTTGGAAATCTTCTCCATAAGGCTGTCTTCATCACCCTTACGGTACTTGAGAACTAAGGAATGAATCAAGAGGTCAGTCAGAAAAGCACTTTCCTAAGCCTGAATTAAATGAACCTAACAACCTGAAAATATATTTTTCCTGCAGGAAGCCAGCGGCTCATACCTATAATCCTAGCTACCTGGGAGGCTAAATCAAGAGGATCACAATTTGAGGCTGGCCTGGGCAAACAGTTTGCAGGATCGCATCTCCAAAATAACCAGAGCAAAATGGACTGGAGGTGTGGCCTTGCAGTAGAGCACCTGCTTTGCAAGTGTGAAGCCCTGAGTTCAAACTCTAGTCCCACCAAAAAAAAAGCAAAACTCCAAAACTGGACATGACATTAACAACGCAAATTGGAACTGTGCTTGTCATTAATAAATTTATAGCTGAGTAAATAAAACATTAATCCCAAGAATCATTTAGGAACAGATACAGTACCTGGAGAACAGCAGAGGGAGACTGTGAGCAACTGGGAGCAGGGTTAGTGACAAAGATGAAAGACAGCAGAGGTGTAAGAAGAACTGGAGACTGGGAGTCAGGGAAATCTCTTGAGTTCAGTGCCTGAGTCTGTCACCTAGTCAAGGTATGATTTTAAGTAGGTCATTTTACTTCTTTGAGCCTCATTTTCCTTTTGGATAAAATGTGGAAATACTTTTTTTCTTTTTTGGTGGTACGGTGGCTTGAATTCATGTCCTCACACTTGCTAGGTAGGCTTTCTACCACTTGAGCCACTCTACAAACCCTTTTTTTACATTGGATATTTTCGAGATAGAGACTCTTGAACTATTTACCTGGGCTAGCTTCAAACTGCAATCCTCCTGATCTTTGCTTCCCAAGTAGCTAGCACAAGTAGCTGGCACTACAGATGAGAGCCACTGATGCCCAGCGAAAGTAATATTTTTGAGTCCTCTAAGACTTGTACATGATAACCTCATGTACAAATGAGATGTTTATATACGAAGATCTCACAAAGTAAAATGCTGTACGTCTTTTTTTTTTTTTTTTTTTTGGTGGTACTGGGGTTGACTCAGGGCACCATGCTTGAGGTGCTCCTACCACTTGGGCCACCCCCAGCCCTACATTAGTTCCTGGACTAACCACTGTGTCACATTAGGCACAATCTACAGAAAGGTCTGGAGATAACAGTAGAACAGGAGTGGAAGACTAGATAGTAAAAATGGACACTTTGTTGTTATAGAAAATAAAGACATTATATCAGGAGATAGAACCAAGAGAAATGGCTCAATGGCAGAAAACTCCAAAAAGCTACAAGTCAACGTTACCTAGCGATGTGGCAAGTGACTGAAGTCAAAGCAAAGAGGACAATTTTAGATAGCTTTAGAAAAAGCATGGAGAATGGGAGAAAGACAGGCAAAGGTTATGCTAAGTTACAAATCCTTTGAGGATATGAATAAGTCCACTTAGCATAGTCAGTGGGCTATACTTGTTGAGTATTCAGGTTAGGGTCTCAATAAGAGATCTGATGAAAGAGGAAAAAAATGGTCCAGTTCATTCCATATTATCTGACTGTGCAGTGCTGGGAGGAGATGTGAGAGGCTCACACCAGATGGCAGATCACTGGGGCCAGGTGGGAATGAAGGGTCCCAATGAGGTGGGCAGATTGGGTTTTCTGAAAGAAGACAAAAAGTCCTGACTTTAGAGTCAGTAAGACCCCTCCCCATTAGACATGTAGAGAAAACAAATCTAGGCACAGATAGGAAAGGAGCAGAGAGGGGATGGTCCATGCGTGAAGAACTCTCCTGAATATCCACCCTCCACGCTATCTTCCTATTGCTTTATCACTGATGCCTTATTTCCAAGACCCTGGTGGTGCTTTTATCATTATTACTGCCTTTCTTTTTCATATCATATTTGCCCCCAAATCTACTGTGATTTCTTTATCACAGCCCTATCACACCTACCACCTGCCTTGTCCAGTTCTGGTGAAATAACCCTTGGAGGAAAGCCTTCTCACAGGGCATGTCTCCTTTTCAGCAATTAGTCTTTCTTACCCAGATCTTTTCGACGTTTATATTCATTAATGTTAACATTAATTTCCTTCACAGCAAGGACCGCATTGGTTAAAGGCACTTTATCTGGGTGGGACTCTGGGGTGGAATTCAGCAACTCCATCAGCAGCAGTGGATAACGCATTACTCTCTGTACTGGCTTGATGAGGAAGGAGCCCAGGTTAATATAATTGGTGCATCCCCTGTAAGACAAGTCAAAAGACTTTAGTCAACTGTCAATGATAAAGTGTGCTTTTACCCTGCTTTCCAGTTGGATTCATTCAACAAATATAGTCATACATTGCTTAATGATGGGGCCACATTCTGCAAACATCACAGAGTGAATTACACAGACTAGAATAGCTACATATGTCCCAGGCAATATAATCTATGGTACCACAATCATGTATGTGGTCTACCATTAACCAAAATGGTGACTGTATTTACTGGGTACCTGATTGGTACCAGGTAATATTCTAGATGCTAAAGATTTAACAGTGACCAAGAAAAGTCTTTTCCTGGGTGGTAGATGATGACCAATAAACAAACCATACACAAAGTGTCATTTGGTGGTAAGTGCTAATGAAAAGCATGATGAGGCAAGTATACTTCTAGGCTTCTGTCTATAAAGTAAGACAATTAAGTCAGCCTTTTAAGGGTTAGGAGAAATCTACTTAATAAATGAGCTCACACATCAAATAGCAAGGGGACTTACCACTCATTGTACAGGCTCCTACACAGCAGGGAGCATGAGAAAAAAAAAAGATAGCTTGTTAGAAAGATGCTGTTGATTTTCTCATTCTCAGAACATGTCTATTCACTGGGCACAATTCACATGGGATAAAAGAAAACTATGAATGCCTATGGTGGCATATCTAGTCTACTAAACAGTTAGCAGGCCTGAGTTTCACTTCCATCTACTTATTCACACATTATATTTTCATAACTTGTCTCCCCAAGACAGGAGACTTTCACCTGATGGTCAAGAGTAACTCTACTTATATTTTGCTCTTGTTTATTGGAACAAACTATCTTCCTAGCTGATAAAAATGCTGACTTAATACTTCATCTATATACAAGTGACTTAAGACAGTAGCACAAGCAGGAAGTCATGTAAGATTTCAATGATATATAATGGGAAAGGGGCAAGCTTCATGAAAGGACATACAATAGTAAATCATTTATGTTCAAAATAAGTAGATGTCATGAGAAGCCAACATAAACACAGGGTATCTTCTAAAAGGAAGAATTAAGGAGGGTTGATGGAAGTGAAGTGGTCAAACTCCTACTTAAGATCTGCCAAGAACTCCTGAAGGTGCTTCTGGATCCTCTCTTCCTTCTCATAGATCTCCAGCAGTGAAATGGCCTCATCATGATTCTGGCAGTAAACTCTGTATGTTCCCTCAAGTTCATCCCGGTGATCAAGAAACACAGGTCCTGTGGAGTATACACAAACATACAATGTTGTCAGTAATATCCTCACTATTCTCAGTAACAGGGTCTTGCTATATAGCCCAGGCGGGCCTAGAATTCACAATCCTCCTGCCTCAGCCTCCTGAGTGGGTTTATAGGTGTGTACCACCATATCTGGCTGTAATCATCTTCCCCCACATCCTAGTTCACAGACTCTGTGAAATCTTTTCACAGATTCTGGTCCACAGCCAGTTAGGCAAAGCACTGGTCCCTATGCAAACTTCTACTGAACAAGATTTTAGAGCTGCTTCCTCAATGTGCCAGTTCCCTGACTTACTAAAACAATTCTTCCTCTTGACCTTCATTCCTTCTCTTAGTAGACTCCATCCTTCCATCTTCACTTGCACTGCTCCATTAAAAGCAAACAAAAAAAAAAGAATGGATATTCTACTTACTGCTTTCTCTGTAACTATCTGGACCTGCTGCTATAAATATAACCATTCCTCATGGAACCTCAACCCTTTATAATGTCACCTCTGCTGTCATGTTTCCTATAGAATTACCTTTCTGCAAGAGCAACTTGGTATTTTCCATAATCCTACCTCCCTCTGCCCTGTCTCACTGGAAGCCTGCTCAGTGACAGGGACTGCATACAGGCATAAGAAGGAGAAATTTCCCACAGCCTGATATGGTGTCTGAACTAAAATCCTCTTGGTCAAGCAGTCATCTGACCCTGACGTGTCTGGCTCTCGTTACTACCACTTCCACTGTCCGTCTGATAAGAGCACTGTCAGAACAAACTGCATGAACATCAGCTGGCATCTAAGGTGCACTGTTGGTGTGAATGGGACTGAAGGGAGAAGTCCCTCTGGGAAAGCCGGAGGACTAGGGACTCCCAAGAGCCCTGAATATGCCAGGTAGTAGAACAAACTGGAAGAAAAATGAGTAATTGCTTGATTAATAATTAATCCCTTATAGATACCAGCTAAATTTCTCTTCTTTTCTTCCTAGGCGGGTTTTAGAGTGGCAGTTATATGCTTCTTTCCAGACAGCATGTAAGTGAGTTATGAGCAGTAATGAAGGTTGCTTTAAAATGAAAACAGTGCTGAGAGAGAGGAAGTCCTATGTTCTTTCTTCCTTTCTCTCTTTCTTGGCAGTACTGGGGTTTGAACTCTTGACGTTTCACTTTGCTAGGTAGGTGTTCTACCACTTGAATCACATGCTCATTTCTTTTATTATTCAAATAAATGGTCAGCAGGTACTTATTTTAAATATCATATAAAAGCTTATTACATTAGCCTTTAAATTTACCATTATATTAAAGTTGCATCACCAAGACTTCTTTTTAGTCAATTCAATGTGTTCTTCTCCTTCCTCACCTCCCTGACCCTAAAGTTAGATTGAAAGCAAGGACCCGGGCTGCACTTTCTCTTACTACCTACACACAGTTGTATGCCTGCGCTAGGCATACAGCTGTATTCTGTATAATAGAGTTTAATGGGGTGAGGTGGATGACGAAAACCTGAGTTTGAATGCGAGTATCATCAGTTATGTGCCACGTGACCTCAGACAAATAAATTCCCTTCCTGCAAAGTCTCAGTTTTCCCACTTGTAAAATAAGACTAAGAGCACCTAAACCCCACAGGGTTGTTGTAGGGAACCACTGATATCCAGCTCAACCTATCTGCATGGTGTAAGAAACACTGAGTGCCATAAGGAAGAATGACACCATGTGGTCTGAAGACAAATGGATGCAAATGGAGGACATCATGTTAAGTGAAGTAAGTCAGTATCAGGAAGATAAAGGTGGCATGTTTTCTCTCTTATGTGGAAGACAGATCCAAAAGATAAATATATACACAAGAACTAAATGTGCTCATACACAAATGTATACGTAGTACATGTTTGTAAAAGTGAAGCTACTCTATGGAACTCAGGGAAGGAGGGAAAGGAAAAGGGAACGATAGTGTCAACAATATCATAATACACAACGTGATACATAACATCTGTGAAGGTAGAGGATATAAGGCTATGTACTGAAAGCTACTAAAAAATGGGGGTGGGAGGGAATGGGTAAGGGAAGCAATGGAAGGGGTTGAATGGGGGAGGGTGAATGAAGGAGATGAAGGTGAGGGAATATGGGTAATGGACTTCATGTACTTATATGAAATATAACAATGAAACTTCTTGCTTTAAGTGGGGCAGGGAAGGGATCAAGGAGGAGAGATGGTGGGGATAATCTAACCAATGTACAAAAAAAGCCTATTTGGAATTATCACAATGAATCCCCCCTGTACAATGAATATATCCTAATAAAAAATAAGTAAATAAAAAAAAAAGAAACATTGAGTTGTACTCTCCTTTCACCTCCCCACAGTCAGTTCCCCTTCCTTCAGGAGGACAGAGCCCTGAGTTTGTTCCTATAACCACTTGCACCCAGGTAAATCAGGAGAATGGTGCCTAGTCTCAGCCAACATCATGACCCAATTTCTCTTTCTAGTGATCAGATTAGGCACATGCATGCATTGTCAGGTCTGGACAATGACAAATAAAGAAACCATATAGGGGAGCACGGAAAAAGCACTCTTAAAGTGACACAGGGGTTGCTTTTTCTCCCCTTCTAGACATTGTCATGTGAGTGGGATGGCTAGAACTGTGGTGGCCTCTTATGGTTTCAGTAAAATAGCAAAATTACAGGATGTCTCTCTCACACCAAACAGAATATGGCAGTGATGGTGTGTCACTTCTGAGACTGGGTCGTAAAACATACTGTGGCACCGGTTCTAGGGCCCCTTCCCTCCAAACCCCATGACTGAAACAATGGCAGGAGCTCATACCTACAGCATCGCTGATTTCCAGGGCAGCCAATAATTGCTTTGACACCTTAATCACCATCTGCATATTTCCAAAAAGTCCCTCAAAATCAATGTTTGGTATCTGAAAAAGAGAAACAAAGCATAAAGACGAACAGAAATAAAATGAGTGGCCTATCATTTATATTAGGAACATCTCTTCAAAGATCATATAAAAATTGCTCAGGGCCATTTTCTTCACTTACTTTCACCAAGTTTCCAGAATAGAGACAACCTACATTATCTTCAGTGTCACTCTTGCCTTGATCCAGCTATGTTCCAGTTAGATGTGTTAAAGGCTTGGGTGCCAGCCTGTGGCAGGTGGTGGAACCTGCAGGAGGTGGGGCCTACTTGGAGGAAAGTAGGTCATTGAGGATGTGCCCTTGAAGGGGATACTGGGACTCCCCTTCCTCTCACTCTCTTTGCTTCCTGGCTGCCATGAGGTGGGCAGCTATGTTCTACCACACTCTCCCTATCCTGATGCCTGCCTTGCCATAGGCCCAAAAGCCAGAGTCACCAACAATAGACTCAAACCTCTGAAACTGAACCAAAGTGAGTCTTTCTTCCTTTTAAGTTGAATAGTGCAGGTATAGTAGGCCTGTGCTATCTGCGGGCATATGGTTCCAAGGAGACCGCCACTGAGGAAAAACCATGAATGCTCAAGGGTGCATAGAGTTCAGTAAATTAAAAATTCCTCAAATTTACCTATTCCATACATATAGTAGGTCTGGGCATCTGTGACTGTTGTACACCAAAAGATAGAACTTATTTCATGTTATTTCAAATATTGTGGAAGCCTGATTCATTTTTTCCCGTAATTTTGCCCAGCTTCCACTAAAGATAGCAACCTTTCAACAAATCTATTTTTCACTTTACCACTTAAATTAAGCACATACCCTTTTTAGCTTGGGAGGATTACTGTAACTTTTGCCTTGCTTTTTGGGGTACCATTTGCTTTTAGGGAGGCATAGTATATTTTTACGACATAAAGAACAAGGCACCACTCCACAGATCACACGATGATTTACACATAACTGCCCATGATGCAGGTCTGACTGAGGGCTGTGTAACGTGTATGTAGAAATTTAAAATTTGTTTTTGAAATTTCTTTGGATTTTTAAAAATGTATTATTTTTTGACTGCACTTGGCCAAAACTGTGTGTAATAAACCTGGAAATAAGAATAAGGCAGGTTTGCTTTTGTATGTTGTCACAACGACAGAATGCTGGGTAACAAACTATTCTCTGCTCCTTCCTCCACCATAATACAATATCAACGGAACCAATCCAGTCTGTAATTATTGCACTGCAACAGTAGTCACAGCCTTTATTTCAAACCAGGAAACCTCTGGGGTGAAAGCTCCCACATCCTCATGTGGGGGGAGTACATTTAAGGTCAGGCTGTCTCCCGGGTGCCCAACCTGTGCTTGCTGCAAGGGCACCATGATCCGTTCAGTGCACATCTCCAGGTCCCGAATGTAGTCTCTTTCTGTCTGAAGAAGCTCTTCCACCACCTTGGCCCTCTTCTCCAGCATCCTCTGCTCTGGATTTTCAGTGGACACAGACCCAGAAGGGGCTACCAGGGATGAAGACTGGGAGGAGAGGAGTGTCATTTCTAGGAGGAAAATGAGGACTGGTCAGCAGCTCTGGATGTGAAAACAGGATTCCTAAACAGTTTGAAGAGAAACATTCCTGGAGAGTCAAAGTCTCCCTAAGTGGATCATTAAGAAATATCTGGGTTTTTTGTTGTTGTTGATACTGGAGATTGAACCCAGGGCCTCATGCAAGCCTTCTGCCACTTGAGTCAGCCCTAGGTCTGACCATGAAGAAATCTGATCAAACCCATCAGTTCTAAACATGGGTGGATGGAGAGCTTAGCAAGTCACCCCTGCAAAAAGAGTTGTCTGGTCCATGCAATATCATCTCAACTTTGTCCTAAATTGAAGCTGGCCACCTTTGAAAGCACAAATCAGTATCTACAAGCTCCTTGTGACAGGTTGAAAGGGGTGTGGGCCTTATCAAGAACTGCTTTCCCTGAATCAGATATAAGCCTGTTCTATGAAATACCAAACTGGCAAATAAAAACATCGATACAGCATATTAAAAAGAATATTATGGGGAACATATAATAATGCAACTTGCCAAGGGGAAGACAAGAAATCATCCATTAGAGATCTCGGTGACTTATGGCCTATCATTTTCTAGTCATTACCACACAGTCAGATGTGTAACGGTTGTTTAGTCTCCTTATCAAAAAAGTAACCAAGACTCAGGCAGGGTTCAGAAAGACAAAGGTCGCATGTTTTCTCTCATAGGTGGAAGACAGATCCAAAAGATAAATACACAGAAAAATAAATATGATCATATAATGAATAATATGTGGGACTGTTTGAAGGGACTAGGGGGATAGGAGAGAAAGGATGATAGAGAGTAAATATTGAAATACATGGCATCGGTACAGGAAGAGGGTACAACAAAACACACTGAAAGCTGCTGGAGAATTAGGGAATGGGGGAAGGTAAGGAAGGAAGAGCAGTAGAGCGGTTAGACTGTACAATGCACTCACAGGTGAAACAGCATGGCGAAGCCCTTTTGAATAATGAGCAGACACTTAGACAATGAGGGTCAGGAATGCCAAACAGGTCCTGCTGGGGAGGGTAAGAGTAGGATGGGGAGGGTGAATGAAGAGGTTAAAGAGGGTGAATATAGCCTATGTACTTTATATACTTGTATGAAAACAGGACATTGAAATCTGCTGAAATCATTTTAAGTAGGGGAAGGGGACGAGAGAGAATGATGGAGGGGATGAACCTAACCATTTCCATCCTAACATATATGGAAATGTCACAATGAGACTCCCTGTATAACAAATATATGTTAAAAAAGACTCATGGCAGTTTTTTTTTTTTAACTTCATATGGCCTAGGAGATAGGAAAAAATACTATAAACATAAAAGTTCTTTAATAGTATTTTCAATTAAAAAAAACCTTTGCAGATCTGGGCTGCATGATTCTAAAACTGAAAACAAGTATGCTTCTTGTTAGTTTTTATAATTTGTTGTTACTTAAATGTACAGGATGAGAGAATTATTTATGAAGATGGGACATTTGTTCATTTAAAACAAATATTAAATACTAAAGCAAACAACTGAAAAAATCCAACAACAAAACAGTCTCTGCTGAGTTTCCTTCAAATTCCTTAAGATCCACTTAAACAATTAAAGATTTGGTAAGTAAATACAGTATTAAGTCTGAGTACGATTATAAGAAGCAAAAACACAAGTGTTCATGGAAAGCTAGTCTTTCATACATTTCATTCTCTAAAAATCTTTCCTGCTACCCCTTTCCTAAGGATTTAGAAGTTTCAGTGTTTAAAAAGGAATGCAGCTGGGCATGGTGGTGAATGCTTGTAAATCCCCAGTCGGGAAGCTGAGGCAGAAAGATTTTTAAGTTTGAGGCCAACCTGAACTACATAATAAGATCTGTCTCTCTTAATATCAGACCCCAAACTCTAAAGTTGATACAGGAAAGAGTAGGAAATACTCTGGAGTTAGTAGGTATAGGTAAGAACTTTCTCAACGAAACCCCAGCAGCACAGCAACTAAGAGATAGCATAGATAAATGGGACCTCATAAAGCTAAAAAGCTTCTGTTCATCAAAAGAAATGGTCTCTAAACTGAAGAGAACACCCACAGAATGGGAGACAATATTTGCCAATTATACATCAGACAAAGGACTGATAACCAGAATATATAGGGAACTTAAAAAACTAAATTCTCCCAAAACTAATGAACCAATAAAGAAATGGGCACGTGAACTAAACAGAACTTTCTCAAAAGAAGAAATTCAAATGGCCAAAAAACACATGAAAAAATGCTCACCATCTCTGGCAATAAAGGAAATGCAAATTAAAACCACACTAAGATTCCACCTCATCCCTGTTAGAATAGCCATCATCAGCAACACCACCAACAACAGGTGTTGGCGAGGATGCGGGGAAAAAGGAACCCTCTTACACTGTTGGTGGGAATGTAGACTAGTACAACCACTCTGGAAAAAAAATTGGAGGCTACTTAAAAAGCTAGACATCGATCTACCATTTGATCCAGCAATACCACTCTTGGGGATATACCCAAAAGACTGTGACACAGGTTACTCCAGAGGTACCTGCAAACCCATGTTTATTGCGGCACTATTCACAATAGCCAAGTTATGGAAACAGCCAAGATGCCCCACCATTGATGAATGGATTAAGAAAATGTGGTATTTATACACAATGGAATTTTATGCAGCCATGAAGAAGAACGAAATGTTATCATTCGCTAGTAAATGGATAGAATTGGAGAACATCATTCTGAGTGAGGTTAGCCTGGCCCAAAAGACCAAAAATCGTATGTTCTCCCTCATATGTGGACATTAGATCAAGGGCAAACACAACAATGGGATTGGACTTTGAGCACATGATAAAAGCGAGAGCACACAAGGGAGGGGTGAGGATAGGTAAGACACCTAAACAACTAGCTAGCATTTGTTGCCCTTAATGCAGAGAAACTAAAGCAGATACCTTAAAAGCAACTGAGGCCAATAGGAAAAGGGGAACAGGTACTAGAGAAAAGGTTAGATCAAAAAGAATTAACCTAGAAGGTAACACCCACATACAGGAAATCAATGTGAGTCAACTCCCTGTATAGCTATCCTTATCTCAACCAGCAAAAACCCTTGTTCCTTCCTATTATTGCTTATACTATCTCTACAACAAAATTAGAAATAAGGGCAAAATAGTTTCTGCTGGGTATTGAGGGGGGGGAAGAGGGAGGGGGCGGAGTAGGTGGTAAGGGAGGGAGTGGGGGCAGGGAGGAGAAATGAACCAAGCCTTGTATGCACATATGAATAATAAAAGAAAAAAAAATAGAAGGTTAAAGACAAAAATATGCACCAAAAAAAAAAATAAATAAAAAATAAACTGCACAGACATACATTGTAAAAAAAAAAAAACAAAAAAACAAAAAAACCACAATGTAGCCCAGATTCTGGTTTCCAATAAAAGGAATCAGGGTTCTTAGGAGAAATGGCATCCCAGAGCTGGGAAAGGGAAGGGGCCAGATGGTGGAAAACAAGGAAGTGCTGGATGACACGATGGGTGGGTAGGGTATGGTCAGCAAGGAAGCTGACTGGATGGGGCTGCCTTGAGTCCAGTTTGGCACAATTCAAGTATCAGAATAAGTGAGCACAGTAATGGATTCTAATCCATTGAATAAAAAGTAGGGATGGATGAGTTCTTAACACATAACTACTTAAGTAAATGAGAAGAGAAAGTTCTTTGTCATGGTAGAAAGTCAACTCATAAATAACAGAAAAGGCTGAGGGAGGGGCTCAAGCAGTAGAGCTCCTGCCTAGCAAGTGGGAAGCCCCGAATTCAAACCCCAGCACTGTCAAAAATAAATAAATAAATAATAGGGGGAAAAAATGGAGTTAAAAGGGATGGGGCTGTGGCCCAAGTGGTAGAGTACCTGCTTGGCAAGTGCAAGGCCCTGAGTTCAGAATAAAATCTGATGTAGGAATGGGCTATCAAGAGCTGCCTGGTTTGCTTAGTGGATGTGACTGATGATCAGGGCATTTTCCATAGTTTTGAATTACTTATTACAAATTACATGTTAATTCCAAAAATGAATAAAAGTGACTATGTAGTAGAGAAATGGATGAAACCATGACCTCGTAATAATGATTAACATCACCAATAAGGGACGAACACATATCCAAACGTTACATCTAGAAAAAATATACATCTTTTGCACAGTATCCCAGTCACAAATCTTGAGGAAACATCGAACTTGAAATGAGGATTTATATTCTTCAAATTGTCAGTGTCGTGAAAGAGAAAACAAACAAACAAAAGAACCCTGAAGAATAATTCACAGATATAACTAATCACAATGCACTGTGATTCTGTCCTGGATCTTGATTTGGAGAAAAAAATTGCTGTAAGGGACAAATGAGGACAACTGAAACTGGGATGCAGACTGCAGTTTGGCCAAATGATGAAATCAATGTTAAATTTTCTATTGTGGTCATGCAAGGGCATCCACACTCGCACTGATGCGCAAGGAATGCAGCACGTGCACGTGAGGCCCTGAGTTTGATCCCTAGCACCACAAAATATACACAGAAACCTATTAAGGGACATGGTAAGAGCAAAGTCCTCTCAGACAACGCAGAAGACCAGGAAGAGAAATGAAAGAGTGGAGAATGAGAACTAGGGAGAGAAAGATAGAGGGCATACAGGAGGTTCTTTGTGCTATTATAATTTTCTACAAATTTGAAGGAGAGGATTTTTTTTTGGTGGTACTGAGGTTTGAACTCAGGGCTTCACCCTTGTTAGACAGAGGCTTTACTACTTGAGCCAGGCCTCCAGTCCTACAAACTTGATATTATTCAAAACAAAGTTTAAAAAAACATAATGGAAAATAATCTTTCTTGAACTTTCCTTTTTGGTAGAATGAATGGCAAAATTTCAAGCATAAGTCATTGCATCACAGTGTCATATTATGACTCTAAGTTAACTGTATCATATAAACAATTTATTTATGGCATGCTGGGGTATGAACCCAGGAACTG